AATTCCCGGGAACCGTAGAAAATGTATTACCAATCACACCAACAAGTTTAATGAATCCTTGATCAATTAGTTCTTGACCAATAATTTCAATATCCCGCACTCTGCGTATACCGGAATTATTGTTTTTCAACCACTTAGCAATATCCTCACCACTATATGCATCATTATAGACACCCAAAATAGGAATTTTAACTTGTTGAGAAGGAATCTCTTCACGCATTCGTGCAAGATAAGTCTTTAAGTCATGTTCGGAAAAAGCCAGACCACCAAGAAAAACGGGTGACGAATTTGTTTGCTCTAATCCGCGAATAGAGATTTCTTCCATTTCATCAGCAAATTGACATTTTGACTCATAATTAGCTCGTAATTTCTCTACATCATTAGTCAATTTGTTGTACATTTTCAGACGACCATTTATCTCATCTTCACTTGCATCAAGACGTTTACTATGTTCATTACCATATTTGGTCAGAGGTAGGAGAACCATTTCGTACAAACTACTAGCGAGTTGTAAATGCGCACGCCCTAATTGTTCACACTCATTTTTAATGTTATCAAATGCACGTCGTAGAGAAGCACCATCATCACGTAAGAACCCATCCTCGTCGCCTTCCTTCTTGGATAAGTCAAACAATTGTTTTCCATATAATTCTTCTATACTAATCCTTTCCTTGAGATATATGGTGAAGTTTTAATACATATGTATATATAGTGTGTGTGTGTTAGGGAAATAAGATCTATTATAAAAAGACAAATCAATGAAAATCCATACTAACTTCTAAAAATTCAATAATTTCATTATTTTCTTCACGACCTTGCTTAAGTTTATCATATAAAATATTTTTTCCAGCCTCATAACCTTTGGGTGACCAAAAAGAATTATCAAATTTTAACTGGGCGACCGCCGCCATGTTTGGATATATATATTTTTAATGAATATAAATTAGCCTGCTTTAAAATGCTGTGATTGGTATATATGTCAAATAACTAAGTACGTATTAAAGAAAAAAAAAAAAATTAGGAAAAAAAGGTTGTGAATCATTGATTATCATACGGAACAAAAAATAATGTTTAATCATGGTCTACCTGTTATCCGTTATTCGAATATTCAAACATTGCAGGTGTTGTAATTTCTTGTATATAACAAGTTGCTCCGTTAATTCGTAACGGTAAAAAGAAAAAATTCTGATTTAAAAATATCCGTTGCAACAAGTAGGCCAAAAATATCATCATCCGAGAATCGTTTCCTATTACGCAACGGTACTACATTTTAAAAGGTAAATATTTATCGGTTTAAAGTTACGATACATTCGTGGCTTCTGAACAGTAAAGGTGACATTCATATAATGCTACATGAAATTAGTAAGCTTAACGTTATACCATCAGGATTTCTTTGATCACTCTATCTTAATTTGCATGATCTGTATGTCCGGCTTAATTAATAATCAACCTTTAACCATTAAGGTTAAGAGGATATTATAAATAGATTATAGGTTAGACGAATTGAATCATATCGATTTATAATTGAATATTTTTTATATCAAATCAATAGGCTCTAATTACTAGATCATGCAATATTATTATAATCCCCCGATCACTAACGGAGGATTAATGAATGTCGCGGCTGATGCTGAAATTTTGACTTATTTTATTAATTTAAAATTTTTTTGGCCTTTTCGTTAGGGGTTTTTTTTAGGGTTAGGTTAGGGTTTAGGGTTAGTGTTAGTAAAAAAGTATATGTAAATTTTAGCAGGTATTATAGATTCAAATGGGGACCCTAAATTTCAGTATCAGCCGCGACAATGATATACTGATCCATATGTGCATAAGCGGAAACTTCGTTTCCGCTAATCCCCGATGGATAAGGATATTTATTATGTAGAATTCGATACTCCAAACAACTTTATGCCTCGTCAGGACATGATCCTGATTAATAAATTACGCGATATTATTAATACCTTCTTCATCTAATTAATAGTCGATCTATAATTGAATGCAGCTGTCGACAGTTCATTATCTTATAAATGTAAATAATGTGCTACTAAATACCAGAATAACCCGAGTGAATGCTGAATCTGCACATTAAAAAGAATAACCTATTTTTGGTTTTTCATTTATAATTGTGAAAACATTGTACGTATTACAATGTTGCACCATAAAGACGTTAATAATGCCTGGTATTATATATATATATATATATATATAATATATATTAAGTTTGATTTATATATATAGTTACGTATATACAGTATATATATTCTTTTATAGGCCACACTTGGTTTCATATCATAGGATGGTGATCAGTGACGCGGCGCGCGGCTTTTTTTTATAGTAAAAAAAAAAAAAATTTTTTTAAATAATGCTAAAAAAAAGCTTATTAAAGCTTATTATCTCACGATTCAAATACCTGATATGAACCAACAACCCTAGCGTTGCCCAGAAAAAATAGTAACCGGATTATTTTGCCGGTTTAATGCGATTTTCGGATACTGATTTCTGGACAAAAAATAACTTTTGTTTTAGCGAATGAACATGTAAGAAAATAAAGATTTACAATACAACTAAAATAGCTTTAAGGTGTAATTAATTTTTTACATGAATAGCTAACAAACTTATGACTTTATGAATTTTAACACATTGATTAAAACTAACTTTAAAAGATATAATATGCTGTGCTTATTTTAAACATTAAAATCCTTTGTATTCACTACTAAATTAACACTAATAAACAAGAGGCAGAGTATTAAGCATTCCCGAATTTAAATAGTTATTTAAAAGATCGATCAAAAACCTTTATACTTATAGCGGTTTGCAAAAAGGTGTGCAGATCATTGGGTATGTAAAGTCACGAAAAATTGAGAAGCCTGTCAACGAAGTGACATTATTGCGAGATTAAATGACTTTATGATCTTCATGTGTTCGAATTTCCAGTTAACCGACCTTGGCTATATCCTGATAGTTATTGTTAGATGCAGGTTTTTTGAGTTAAATTTGTGATCGCATATGATTACGGAAGGCAGTATTAATATGGTAATTAAATAAATAGTTTAGGGTAAGTTCATATGATTCTGGGTATAAAATCAGAAGGAAGAAATCGTGGCTTTCTTGTTAGTAAAGAGTATTTTAGGACCTAGGTTGTTATTGGAGGGGATTATTTTTTTCTTTGCTATCACTTGCCTCATAGAAGGGCCAGCTCTATCGTTTCCCCATTCATGTAAGGGTGATTCCAAGTCATATATCCTGTTGGCTGAAGGATGTAGTAGGCACTGATATGCTTTGTGGTTGCAGTGGCAATGCAAGGACCTTTTAAAGTACTATTAGGCTTCTCAGCTGTAATAGCAATGTAAGAATCTTTTAAAGTACTATTAAGCTCCTCAGTTGTAGTACGTAGCAGTGCAAGAACCATTAAGGATATAATTGGGCTCTGTGGATGTAGCAGCAGTATAAAGACCCTATAGAGCGTATGTAGGCTTTGTGGCTGAGTAGCAAGGACCATTAAGTATATAATTGGGCTCTGCGGCTTTAGTAGCAGTACAAGGACCCTATAGAGTCCACTAAAAGGTAATTGGACTATGGCGGTGTTACGAAAATTGTGTTTAAATTTTATTCATTACATTTTCTATATTCTTACCGTTACTATATTTGTTAGTTCTATTGTTATGGAATGGCTGTGCATGGGTTAGAACCACAGATCTTGGTTTAGGACCATGGATCTTGGTTTGAGGCTGCAAATCTTAGTTTTAGACCCCAATCGTTTGAAATGTATAAATATATTGCCTAAACTAATAAAGAGAGGGAAATTCCATTAGTGTTTTGTTCGATGCATAATAAATAACGTCCGTTTATCATTAAATCCGAATCCTTTATAACCATTCATCTCGCATAACTTTGACCTCATGTTAGCCAAGTCTCTCCCACGGTTACAACAGCGGTTGCCGCAGCAATGCAAGGCCCTTTTCAAGATAAGTATAAAACTGCTTCTCTTTTAGCTGTGTCCCTCTTGAATACTTCCTTACACAAAATATTAGTGTTTGTTAAATATGGGTTATGGGTCGTTTTCATTAGCGTTTTCATATTAAAGGCTTTTGGTTGGATATGTGGGCCTGTCAATACAGGGTTTAGGTTACCTTTGGAACAGGTTAAGATCGGTTAGTTTGGGTAGTAATTCTTATAGGAAGGTAGTATTTTATGTAAAGCCCGTAAAGATGGCAAACAGTATTCCTATATGTTTTTCAATAAAGGCCCAATCAAATGCAAGATTTTGCGAATTCGCCATTCTAGATGGCAGGAACCTAGGGTTGTTAAATGGAGTATATCACTCCGGAATGGCTCCAGTTTGACTTCAAACCAACTTGGGTAGATTAAAATTTAATAAACTGGAGCAAACCAGTTTATTAAATCAGTTTAACAAACTAGTTTACCAACCCAGTTTAATAAACCAGTTTAATAAACCAGATTAGTAAATCAGTTTATTAAACCAGTTTAATAAATCAGTATATTAAACCAGTTTATTAAACCAGTTTATTAAATCAGTTTAGTAACCCAGTTTATTAAACTAGTTTATTAAACCAGTTTAATAAACTAGTTTTATAAACCAGTTTAATATATATATATATATAGTATATATATTTTTAGCTCTTTGATGGCTTTTCCAGAGCTCAAACACAAGAAACTTTATTTAACTAGTAATAGTGAACCATCTTGAATATACAACTGCTCCTTTCTAAACTAAACAAGTTTTTATAAAATTGCAAGCTCAGCATCTCATGGCTGCAATAAAATGTACCTATTAGCAACCTGTTGCACCAACTTGTATATAAGTTGGATAAACTTTGTTAGCCTATTGAAAGCTAATTTCTTCAATTCTTTTTTCTTTACCAAGAGCAAAAGAAAGTAATGATTTTATATTAACAATACAAAACTACCTATTAACAAAAAAAATTAAACTATATCTAAAAAAAATAAAATAAACGAAAGAGGAAATTCAAAGAAAGAATAAGAAAATATAAAAAAAGAAAAGCAAAAAGAAAAACCTAAGGACTGACAAAGAGAAAAACTACTTCTAACAAGAAGTAATAAGCAATCTGAAGGTTGAAATAAAAAAAAAACAGAGATACACTATTATAACCCATGCCAAGTTCAAATAAAAATTAGGACTAGAGAATAACTTTATCTACTAAAGATTCTAAAAAGAGAGTTATGCATTACAAGAGAGGATTTACAAAACTAATTCTATAAGAAAAAGAGATATACTCTAAACTAGACAGAAAAAGGAATTGCTAAAGCCTTGTACCTATGTAATTTTTGAAGTTTTAATTGTAATTAGAGTTAAGATTAGTTTAGCATTAAAGTAAGAGTAGTTTTATAAATAAAATTGCCTCACCAATATTTTTATTAATATAACAAGACAGGTTTAGACTACTATTTTTCATATTTTTGTATTTTTTAATTTTTTGACTTCTTTGAGTTGATCCATGTAAACAAATTTTAATATTTGATTGGTTAATTTATATATAAAAAGTTACATAAGTATAAGGCTTTAGCAGATCTCCAGAAGAGGCAAATATACTTTTTATATATTTTTTATATACCAAGCCAAGGAAGTAAAGAGAGTAAAGAGTATTGTAACATGTGCTTGAAGAAGTTAAGGACTATGTTGAGGGAATTGAGAGAGTTGAGGGAGTTGAGAGTTGTGTTGCAGGAGTTGAGAAACATGTTGAGAGAGTTGAGAGTTGTGTTAGAGGAGTTGAGAGACAAGTATAATCTTTAATACTACCTTGTCTATCTTTAGCTACAGTATGTACTATAGTGGCTTTAACTCTTTGTTAATACTTATACTAATAATAATATATAATACAAATATAATAAATAATAGATATTTAATATAAAATATAGTCAGGCTTTTCTAAAT